GATCCCGATGAGACCATATTAAGAAAATGTTTTTGACTTAACATGTACATTACTAATATACATTTTCATATACTGAGCTTACTTATTGTTTTGTAGATTGCTGATGGACCGACGACCCCTTCTACCGACCCTGCCAGCCCAACTGACAATCATGCTGCAACGCATCCTCATATAAAGAGGCAACATGATGAGTATGATCCTGATAGTGTATTCGGGCGGGAGGGGATGCGACTCAGGCCAGCGGTTGCATTGAAACACAAGGGTTGTGGGACTCATTGATTTTCTTTTTTTTGTATTTTATGTAAATAATAAATTATGTAAATATTAACTATTATTTATTATGCTTACATAATATGCGCATTATATTTTTATTACTCCGTCTCTTCTTTATTTTAACAGTACAATACAAACACAAACATATAAACTTAATATAACTTAAATTTAGTACAACTAATAAAAACATTTGACATGGGAAGCATAAAGATACACTACTACGCTCAACACGTACATGTCATTGTTTAGTCACCACTGCCTAGTATTCTCTGCTCCAACCACTTAAATTTTTCTTCCAGCTTATTTTTTTCTTCTTCCACCTCTTTGAGTTTCTCCTTCAACTCAACAACTTCTCGTTTAGATTGTCGCTCTCTTTCCCACTGTTTCAAACACAAATAATGAAGATGCTGCAACTTTTCTTTGTAGTATTCCTGCTAACAGAGTTCATAAATCCATACCTCAAAATTACAAATAGGTTCGTCGGGAACCCTATAAAACTTGTTCATACACGCTTAGTAGCGGCGTCCAGCTTCACCATCATTCCAACAGTCTTGCAACATGCATTTTTTGCCGCACTCGCACCTTGGCACATAAAGGGGTTCAAACATTTATTAATGCATAAAAAAACCTTGCTTTTATGGAAATATTTGCTATTGGTTATTGTTAAGCGCAAAAAATAACTAGAATGCACCCGTTATTTATAGGCAAGACAACATACAAAATGTAGTATTTAACTGCGCTATACATATTGACTTTTTCGGAAATGAAATAGCTTTTTCGCAATCGGTCAGCTTTTCAGACCGACCAAACAACGCACAAAATGTAGTATTTAACCGCGCTATATATATTGATTTTTTTGAAACAAAACAGCTTTTTTGCAATCGGTAAGCTTTTCAGACCGACAAGACAACACACAAAATATAGTATTTAACCGCGCGATACATATTAATTTTTCTAAAACGAAATAACTTTTTCGTAGTCGGTTAACTTTTCAGACCGACAAGACAACACACAAAACGTAGTATCTAATCGCGTTATACATATTGATTTTTCTAAAACAAAATATCTTTTTCGCAATCGGTCAGCTTTTCAGACCGACAAGACAATACATAAAACTTAGTATTTAACTGCTCTATACATATTGATTTTTCTGAAATGAAACAGCTTTGTCTTGATTTATCCTTTTATTATCTTTTATTTTCATGTATGTTGATTTAGTTATGGTTGTTATGCTTTTTTCTCTTCAAGTATTTTGTTATGAAATTTCAATCTTCATATTGGTTTTCTTTACTAACATCAATAAGTTGAATGTTGGAACTATCATATCATCATCCCAATTCAAAAGGTCATGTTAGATAATAAGATGTAACAAGATTGTGGAACATAATTTTATTTGATAGATATTGCAACATAAACAAGTACAGACACTTATTACAAAAAATATTATGAAAACAAAACACTAGGTGTATCCTTGATAGTTTGGGTACATTAGACAAACTTGCATCAGGAGCTGGATTACCACCTCCACCCAGACCAGCTGAAGGACATTTATGATGGTCGTGTCCTATTTGCGAGCATATGCCACATTTACGCGCATAAACGATATTACCAACATCCATTTGGTTCTGTATACGCGTTCTCTTTTGCACTTGCAGCTTGCGCAAATACTCCTTGTTACACAACATTCTAAATGGTTTCGGCAGCTAATAATGCTCAGCACCCAATGACTGCAACTGCCTACTATATGTATTTACATATGCAGCAATATTGTATTGCCTAGCAACATAGTTGGTTGCCCCTAAACCAACTTGTTGAAAGCACTTCATGGCATGTGCACACGGCATGTGATAGATGGTCCATTTCCCACTTGAACAAAACATGCTGGCTTTATTCACGGTTTGTAGATTATTCCCCCCGGTGTCCACGGATAGCGGTGCGAACTTCAAAAATACCCCAATCGTGATCATACTGTAAAAATGAATGCAAATGTGTTCGCCTCATGTATTTCTCAAATCTTCTCATCGGTATTGGCATAAATTGAACACCCCTGTCCATCAATTCCGATGCAGCTCTACACCTTTCAACAAACCTCTCCGCAATCTGTTTGAACGTCATCCGGATCATTGCAGTGATAAGCAATTCACGTGCAGACTTCAATAAGCCATTGAATGACTCCGATACATTTGTAGCCAGGGCTCCCCCATCGTCTGCCACCATCAACATGCAATGTCCACTTGTGAAGCTCATGTCCCATCAACCAATTATAGGCTCTTTCGTCTAACTGCCGGATCGCTTCCATGCGCCTCGTGAATTTGCACTGCTGGTGCTCAGTTGCATTCATCCGCATTAAATCATGCAAGGCATTGTCGGGATATTTCTTCCGGAAATTGGTCTTCAAGTGCCTCACACAGTAACGATGGTATGCATAGGGGTCCTACCATTCAGGCAAATGCCGTACATAACTTAAATATACTACCATACCGATAAGATATTAGACAAATACCTGAACGTTGTTTGACAATGTGCTGCTTCAAGTGGTTCAAAAAAAGCATCCACGTCTCTTTGATTTTATTGGCACAAATGGCAAAAGCTAGTGGAAATATTTGTCTGTTGGCATCTACTGCAACTGCGATCAAAAGCTTAATATCATACTTTCCATAGACATGAGTACCATCTATGGAAATTACCGGACGACAATGCACAAAACCATCAATTTCTGGTTTAAATAACCAGAACACATAGTTGAAAATATATTCCGGTATTCCCAGACTCCACTCATGCCTCCATTCAACAACAGTCTCGGGGTTAAAGTATTTCAGTGCTTCCATGTACCTGGGTAGAGATGAAAATAACTTATCCTAGTCACCATAAATAATTTCAAATGCACATTTGCGCCCCAGATATGCCTTTTTTTTGGTTATAGTACATCTATATTCCTGGTGGACGGATGTAATACACTCTTTGATCTTGTACCTAATGGACACTTTCAAGTGTGGAATCAAGACAAGAGAAATCAAGTCTACATCTAAGTTGAAGTGGTTCTGATTGAATGTGTCCATTTCACATCTGTGGGTGCTAATATATTTACCCACTTTCCACAACCCTATTTCCTTCTTGATCGCACGCAACATCCAGTTACAACCCATAAAGTATCTACGGCATATGACCTTGTCTACCTCCGGAGTTGACTCCCTTACTGTCATATCACGACACTCTCTTATATTGTACATTTTACAAGCCCTAGATAGGCGAACTTTATCGGAAAAATACATGTCATTATCCAGCACCGTTGGTCTACACTCATCCCACATTGCTGACCGAAATTCGTCATCATCCCTTGTGAAGGCATCCACATCCGGCATACTTGGTAAATTATCAAGGTAGGGAATATTTCGCTCATGAAACGGCACGTGGGACTCGTACACTCTTGGTCTAACAGGAGGTGGAGGAGCATGCTCTCTCGTCAGCTCAGGTTCGACATTCACTTCCTCCTCTTCATCACCCTCGTCAGGGAAGGGTGTGTCATCTCCAAACTCATCGATATTGTTGTCATAATCACTATTATATTCATGACTCTGCGCAGCTGCCAAATCACGAGTAAATACGCCGTCTACGGGCAACTAAGTGAGATCAGGACCATCAAGTTGCTCGTTTTCACTGCACAAAAAGAACAAAATGATAAGCTACTCAAATTGATAAATATTTTACATATAGCTATATCACTTCACTTACAAGTCGTACTGCGTTGACATTTCATGATGGACATTTTCTTGGTGGTGATGACTCCCGAATGGACCACCGTGATCCAACACGCCAGAACTACGTATATTCCAACTGGGTGTGGGGTCACAACTTGTAAAATTCATATCCAAATGGTATCCTCTGTGGAAAATATGAGTGTTAATACAAATTCAATTCAACAAAAAATAAGTATCGTAACAGAAAGGAAAATTGAACTTTACCAGTCGTCTTGTGAATTATGTAAAGTATGAGAGAAATTATTTCCTCGCTCCTCGTTCGCCCGCAGAGATAAGTTAAGATCCGACCAAACTCTTTCAGCCGGAACCTGTTGGGATAAAATTGCTCCAAAATAACCACCCGATGATTGGGGGTTATCCCTGCTTTACGCAGTCTCATTATTGCCAATGTCTTCAGCCTTGACGTACATTTCCAACAATTTTATCACAATAAATTCCCTGTATTCATTCGAAATCCACAAAAAATCTCTAAGAGTTTCATCATCTTCGATGTTAATCTCAGAATAACAAGCAAACCCCTGCGGAGTCACAGAATACGGAAATCTACCAGTTACTTTAAGGTTCACCGAACGTTTCCTCACACTCATTTTTTTACGCAACAACAATACCAATTTATCGTACTCCATTGTAAGCGACAATTTAACATGATAGTGTGGTGATGAACTATACCTCACAGAGTTATTCTCCACTACAACCTCACCCCCAAATATAATGAAACCCTTATTTTTTGCTCTTTAGACATTATAAAAAATGTTTGATAACAAGAAGAAAAGTTTGAACGGAAGTTAGTATATGTTTTGAATGGATTCTCATAAAATCTTAACCCTTTTAAATAAGGCAATGCCTCGCTCGAGAGGCTGAATTTTTTGACACCGCGCTATACCCATTTGAATTATTGTTATGTCAGTTAATCGTAAGAGACTTATTGGTGGACTCACAAACCGATATATATATATATA